CTCTCTCTCTCTCTCTCTCTCTCTCTCTCTCTCTCTCTCTCTCTCTCTCTCCGTTGCTGGTGCTGCTGCTGCACTAGGAGGTAGTTGACGCCTGACCAATCTCTGAGACCCGTCTCCGGCATCTCGTGAGCGCAAGGAGAGCTTGCCCCACCACAGAGCGTGTAGCGCGTATTCTCAAACGAGTGGCAGTGGTCAGTGTACACCCAAAACAATAGTCCTGCAGCTGAAAAAAGGCGAGTTCGCTCCGCGCAACAGCCGGATATGGCGACACAGGTCAAGCTTTCTGTAGGCGGCACAACAAATGTGCCGTCCCTTGCCGACCAAATCAAGCGCTTCCAGCCGAGGGTTTTCAGCAACACCGAGAGCGCCTCAAGAGTATTCGACCGCTCAGCCAAGGTGGGGTCAAATAGACCTCCATTTCTGATCGTCGCTGCGGCGACGTTCTTGCCAACAGAAGTCATATGCTCAAATCGGGATTTGGGTCTGCAGTAGACTGTACGGTGTGTGTACTCGGCAGACATGCAGTAGACTACGGGAAACTGTAGACTGCAGCGTTGCTGCAGCATTAGTTTGATGGGTCCTTCTTCAGCGGTCGTCCTCGGAGCACGTAGATTCCTTGTAAATGTTTTTGTTGTGTGGCACACTACGTAGACTACTTCGGAAGCGCCCGAGCACAGTACACTCGTTCGTCGTGATTGGTGAGTTCCACGAGGGAAACTACGGCGGTTGCAACAGTGCAGGGGACGATGAAACAGCGCTAGGTTTCAGCAGGGTTCGGATATATGTGTTATCTCGCGGGTTGGCTTGGTTCTTGAGGGTGCTAATCTGCCGATGTAAATGGGTGTATCCAATCAAAAACACGTGTCGTTTCTTGCATCTTCTGCTTCACGAGAGAACAGCTTTCCTATGTAGACGTGGTTTCACGGCACCGTGGACCATATGCTGCTCCTCCTGTTCCTGTGATGGTTTCTAGTCTTCATCCTTGGCGTGATTTCTGAGCTCTACATCCATACGAACGTACGGCACCTGATTTCACCATGCACTTTCCAGCGTGCGAATTGTGACACGGCAGCGTGCCTCTGCCTCGTCTTCTGTGCACGCATCTATGAGAAAATGTTCTCAAGCGTATATTTACGGTGCCACGGCGCGCACAACAGTGGACGTGACAGAACTCCTTTTTTTCTTTCGAAAACACAACAAAATGTGTATGCGTAGTGCATGTCTTTCACAATCATTCTCCTCTAACGCCGACCCAAATATTCCCTTGGCCACGCGCAAGTTTGCCCCAACTGCAACCTTGGCCTCGCATGGTGCCAGGACAATCCGGCGCGAGAGGCGCTGACAATCAAGTGCGTCAAGGTCATCGTCGACAACTTCGAACGGCTGCCAGCGCACGACGCCACCGGTGGGTTCAATGTCGGTTACCGGAAGTACGACGACGAGAATGGCGATCGTCGTCAAGACGAAACGAAGGATGGCGGCGGCGGCGGCGGCGGCGGAGTTGACGCTAGCCCTGCCACAGCAGCGTGGAGCGCGGCGAAGCGAACCGACCCTGCCGGGCGCGATGCAGGATTTGGCGGGATGGGCGAGGGAGACGGGGGGGAGACCAAGCTGGAGGGAGATGATGAGCTGCCACATCCTCAGCAACAAGAGGGCAGGGTCATACCCGCGAAGTTTTTGCAGCTGATAAGCGCTGGCTTGAGTACTGACTTGGATCCAAAGGTGAGCGCGACGGAGGGTGCATGGCGGTGTTGACGGTCATCAGTAGTCTACACAGAAAAATTGATAAAGCAAACGTATGGGGAAAAGTATTCAATCCGTGCTTGGGGTTAGAGTTAGGGTTAGGGAAAGGGTCTGCGTGCCCCCTCCCTAATCTTTTTCTAGATACTCTTTAAATCCTGCGTAGGCGGTCCGTGGTCATGGATTTTCTCGAAGTATTCTGTCTCCTGTTTAGATACATATGCAGTCTGGCGTAAAACGATGGCGACGACGGCTCGCCACGGCTTGAAGTGCTGGTGTTTGGACCCACCACATGCCATGATCAAAAACCGGTTAAGAGTTTCCTTGCAGCACAACATTTCTGCCGTTTGGCGACATGCAGAGTGAAGCCCGTCGAGCGTAGGGAGCGGTGCTCAAAGTGCAGATATCAGTGTTGTGGCGGAACCACTAACTGAAATAACATCATTCACGGCCAGGTTTGGATGCCCTATCATGGCCCCCATGTCGATCGTGCTTCATCTCAACAGTATTGGATGAAGGCGCAACATCGGCAGCAACTTGCAAACCATTGGCGCGCACATTAAACGAAAACTCGCTTTCTACTTGTTGCTGCCACGGGGGGTGGAAGGTAGGAGCTTTGTACGTGTTTGACGAGAACTACTGGAAACGGCGATGCGTGGAGAAGCTTGGCTGGCAAAACTGTCAGATCGCCGAGCACGGGCTGACATGGAAGCAGCTGTTTTTTGAGGTGAGTCTTGCTTGCGGCGGGCCCCTGCATACATCCTATTTTCCGCGACACCTCTTATTGGTGCGGAAAGGTGGTTAGTGTGCCGGGGTCGATTTTTCTCTAGGGTACCGCTCTAAAAGGGCTCTTTTTACTCTGACGCAGACCATGAAGAATCCAGAATCGCCTAAGGAAAAATCGTGATGGGACTACCGTACAGCCGGATTTTCCGTGTTTTCGACAAGAGTTCCGAGCTCCTTAGCCAGTCTCCGAGATGAAATTCACCAGCTCTATCTCAAGGGTATATATAAACAAGTCAACCTTGGCCCTTGACGAGCTCACCCTCTCCGTCCGTCTCTCGTGCCCACGGCGGGCGAACGCTGCTACAAGCAGGCCCACGTGAGCACCCAGCTGGAGACGTTCGACGCCCAGAAGGAGACGTTCGACCACCTCCTGGAGTTCCTTGCGTCGTGTCAGGTCCGCCGCTAACCCTCCCCGCGCCGTGTCGTGTGCGTGCAACCAAATTCAGGAAGGGAGACTCAGTCGGGAAGCAAACACAAGCGAGAAAAAATGCATGTGCAGGGGGGGGGGGGAGCGGCTTCGGGGAAGCCGTTAGCTCTAGGGCGACGGTGTGCGCGTTGAAACGATCACGCCCCCATCGTCAACATCCCCCCCCCCGCACCTGATTATCGCTTCCGTCGATAGGGTGTATACCGCCAGAAGAGTTCATGGAGGAGCAAACCTCCGAAATGTTCCGTATATCCTCCCCTCCACGACCATAGGAACAATAGGGACCGCCGAAAGGAGAGTAGGCTAGGTTTTCCTTAACATGGTTGACGGTTTTCCTCTCTCCCTTACACCGCGCTTCCTGGCGAATTGTCGTCCGTTTTTTCCGTCGGCGGCGGCGATAGGAGTACGTCTTCACCCTCCGCATCCGACAGCTCTTGGCGCACCCCGACATGCGCGCGGTGTGCGAGGTCCTACAGAACCTCACCATGGTACGTGTTCACTCTCCTCCGTTGTGCGATAGCGGGAAAACCCATGGGATGAACGTATTCGGGGGTTCTCGGCAGAGTACTGATCTACGGGGTCTCCGGGGGGGTACGTGGATGATATGATGGGCATGACGCATGGACCCCTTCGTGCCTCCCTTATGTCTATCACTCTGTAAGGTGTTGAGTCAACCTTCTTTCTCTTTCGGCCTCTCACGAAGCTGCTACGTACCTGAACAGCTATGAGCTGCCTGCTTGGGTGCCCTGCTCGACGCGCCTGTGAGCCTCATCCGCATCGATTGTGTGTTGACCTGTCGCTGCTCGTTGGCTCTCGTTGGCGTCCAATAGGGGTCCCCGGAGACAAGAAATGCCTGGGTCTAGCCTCAGTACTGTTTTGCTTCAGCACCGCCGAGTACAGGCTACCATATACTGGAGTAGAGTATAGTGCAGGATCCTCTGGCTGAGGTCTGTTTCTTCAACCCAATTCTGTCATTCTTCGGGATTTTGTTTTTCGAACGGACAGTTTCTTGTCCGCGGACCCGTACTGTAGGTAATTGGAGCCTTTCCACGCCTTGGCGCTGGTTGTTCCGCCAAGGGATGGTTCGAAAAATCAATACCCTCCCCCTCCCCAACAGCTTCTGGTTCATCCGTATGAAACGTAGCCTGGGCCGGCGAACGCCCGGCAAATCGCTCCGTCCCGGCGTTGTAGGGATGCGAGGTCAACGTTCTAGCGACAACGGCATGTGTTTACATTAGCACCACCCCTCCACACACCGTGCCCCCCACGTGGCAAACTCCGTGGCTGGCAAGAAAGCTGGACGTGACGTACAGCGTAAGCTCCATCGGCATGAAGTACGAGCGCATGCTCTTCGGGATGAAAATTTCGGACGCGAATTGCTTGGCCAAGGCTATCCAGGCAACCCAGACGATGGCCTCGCTGGTGTTGCAGGTGAGAGTTAAGAAGGCGTTTCGCGTTCGCTGGTTTCCGTCATGGTGGGACGCAAATCTTGCAAGGTCTTCATACGTACGCGCGATGTGGCACGTGGTTACGCCCACCTACTATGGTGGCATGGCTAACCGTCTCCAGCAACAAGGATCTGAAATGCCCACCTAGTAGGTGCAGACACGTGGCGATGGCCTCCGCTATCGGTAGCGTGCGGCAGCCGAAAGGGGTATGCGAGAGCGGCGACGGCGGCTCCCTGTGCGTGAGCAGCGCCACGCAAACATGCTCGGGCGGGGGAAGGGGGGCGGAAATCCTACCGCCTTTTGTAGCCCGTCCAACAAATTCCGAGTGCCTCATACTCTGAAACAAGAAGTGACTCAACGTTAGTGAGTACAGCCCCCCTGAGATATGTTCGAACGCCCGCAAGGGCTTGCCACCCCTCGCGATCCTGAGCCCCTTCACTACGCAGTCCACGGAAGGGTTGCTCAACCAAACATGTTGGTTGAGGATGCCCATATTTTTGCCGGGAGAGTAACTCTCTGTTTACTGCCCCTTTTCAAATATGTATCCCCGAGCACCTTGGTCCGCATGAGCTGCTACCGAGCAGACGATTTGGTCGGGGGCGCGAAATGGTTCGTGTTTTTCGTTTTCATACACACACCCTCTCTCGTGTGCCGCCGACCCAGGGGAACCTGATAGACGACGACCTCATGCGGATGCTCATGACCGGGCTCATCAGGAACTCCACGATTACGTACTTGGACGTGAGCCACAACAAGATCACCAACCACGGTGAGCAGAGCCCTCACACGCTGCATGCTAAATTCGCCGCGCACCGCGGTGCAAACTGCTAGCCACACTACAGGAAGGAAGCATCTCAGCTACGCTGCACGTCTTGGATGTTGTGCGCGCGCGTGCGTGCGAGTCGGCTTTACTCGCCCGTGGGTCTGTCGCACACCAGATTGTACGCGTTCGAACCCAGCATCTTCCCCACAGCCCCCACCACACAAAAATCTAAAAAATGACAAGCCTGAGCGACGGCTTCGTCACCGGCATGCCTCGCTAAAGATGAAATCCCCCCCCTCGCTAAACTCTTGGCTTCCAGAATGCCAATTCCCAACCACACTTCTTTGTTCAAATTTGGACTCTTCGGCAGGGTGGTTGACCTCGTGATTCTTGTTTTCCGTCGTTGTGTTCTTGTCGCGTCGGCTTCGAAAACTCTCGTCGCCCGACCGTTTCCTTCTCTTCGAACAACAACAGGTGCGAGACTGCTCTCCAAACTACTCGGCGAGAACAGCGTCCTTACCACGCTCAACCTGGCGGACAACCAGGTAGGAGGGTAGGGAGGTATGATGGTCGAACGAATTAGCCCAAACAAGTAGACCCTGTGCCAAACACTTGATTGACCACGTTTAGAACCAACCTAGTTGAACTGGCCAGCGCTTTTACCTTCACGTCTCCGGTAGCAATGGTTGGCAATTGCGTTGTCTCTGCGATTCGAGTGGTAGATCCACGCGGAGGGGGGCCGGTATATCGGCCGCGCCCTTCGGGGAAACACGTCGCTGGTGACCCTCAACCTCCGGCTGAACCGCCTGACGGACGAGGGAGGGAAGATGCTCGTAGAGGGACTGCACGACAACCGGACCCTGGCCTGCCTCAACCTCAGGTGAGCGCGCACACGCGCGTGGAGAAGGTCCTTACCCGGCCTGACGCCCTCATGGCCGCATCTCGGTGCAATTGTTGTACGTCCCGCCCATAGATAGCATGGAGCAGCCAGTCTGACAAGTAAATCTGGGTGGAGTCGCTCCCGAACAGCTGTATATATTCGGCACAAGAAAGCACCCTACCCCCCGGTGCCAGCATGTTTGCTTGGTGCTGGTGTGGGCGGGTGCGGTGTCTCGCTTCGTCTATCTGAGGTGGTAGTTTAATGTATTGGACTCAGGCTGACCCGTACAAATGTGCCACGGGCATGGTACAAGGGTGGCGTGAGGCGTGAGAGTTTCCGTGCATGGTACTGGTGCATGGTTCCGGAATGTTGGGGGGCTCAGTGTCGCAGAAGCACCCATAGAAGCCAATGACCGAACCCCTTCTTGTCGGTGTAGATGCGCGCCCATTTTCCAACTGTGCAGCAATAAACTTGCCTTATAGCCAAACTTCGCGAAACACATAACGGAGAGACAATTTGACTTGAAATCACAGTCACGCCGACGTAGTACCACGAACGCAATGTACGGTAGACTAAACCTTGCCTGGGTTGGCTAGGCTCGTGGCGCGGCCTAGGAGAGCCTACTCCTGTATGACATTCGGGGAAGGAGAAAAACGCCAATTCGAGTGGCGACCTGATTGAGTCCGATGACTCAGTGGGGGTCGACACACAGCGAGCTTTTCTGTGCTGCCCCTTGCTCCCCCCGCGCTCCCCTTGTGCCCGGTTTGGTGCCTCTGCTTCTGCGCATATTGTTCTTGCTTTCAGCGCGAACTCAATAGCGCGCGAGGCTTGTTCTTCGCTGAGCATGGTGCTCAGAAAACCCGGGAAGGTGCTGGCAACGCTGGACCTCAGCTGCAATGAGTTGCAGGTTTGTAGTCAATACTGCGCAACGCAAAGCATAGCTTGCCGTATGAACATCTGTAGGCAACGATGTGTCGGTTCGTGTGCTACTACTTGCGGCCGCACGGGTGTTGCGGCTTGGTGTATTACGTTCACCCCGTGCGGGGGAGACCTTCGGGTGTGTTGGGTGTGTCGCTTGTGTCGACGGCGTGGTGTCGACACGCAAGTCGTAGAAGCGTCGAAAGGGCGCTCTCGCAGTGTTAATCCGCGAGACAGCCATACCTCTCGAGACGAAACGTTCCTATGTACCACCCACCCGCAGATATCGTTCGTCGATTCCATTCCTACCACTGTACTTAAGCGATTGATCACACACACGCGCTGGACAAGCCTTCACAGCTGATTTCCTCAACCGAGGGGACACACCTGCCGAAAAGGTTAGTTTGTGGAAAGAGCTCGTCGAGGGCGTTTGTTTGACCTATTGGAAGGTTTACGCCACCTTTTATCAAACCTCGTCGGCGAACCCCCCGACGTTTCCTTCAATCCCAGCGTTGTGGGATGCCAGATCATCTGTGATCGAATGCTAATACCGCGTTCATCTTCATTGGAATATACCGTCCCTCGCGCGCGTGTCCCCCACGTGCAGGACGACGACATCCGGTTGCTTTGCGTCGCGCTGGAGAGGAACTCGTCGCTGACCTCCATCGACCTCCGCATGAACGACGTTTCGGCGGACCTCGAGAACCTGGAGAAAATCGAGGTAGGGAGACGGCTCGCGGTTGATCTTGGTTGATGTTCTTTCGTTGTCGTTGATGTGGAAAAAGACGCCTCGGCTCGACTTTGACGTTTCTCAGAGTCGCCTGCCAAACCTTGGTAAAAACAATACACGACACCACAATCGAAATTATCACTCACCGATCTGACCATGTGACTTCCACCCCTTGATGTTTCCTATATATTCCTCTGCCCAAAAAACACCGATGCAAGTAATGCACGGGCGCTCGTCCTCGTGCTCCTGCTCGACTTGTCTGGCTCTGCTCACCCGTTCCCCGCTCATGTCCCTTGTACTGTCCCCTACACGTTTCCCTTTGTCCTACGTCCCCTTCCCCAGAAAATGGTGCATGCCAACGAGTTGCGTGCGCGGGAAGCATGAAGCAAGCGCCGGTTGTTAGACTAGATATGCTAGGTGCGGAATCCCGGAAAGAGGGGCGTCATTTGGTTGTCGGGGTATGGCCGACAGCACTACAGCGCGCGGCTCACCACCGACTACGATACCACGACACCGCTGCGTGCTGTGACGATTGGGGCCGATTCAAACCGCTGCACATCTGGACGACGCGCCGGCGACCAAGCAGGGTGGGGGGGCGAGGGCGAAATGGTATTTTGCCTTCGCGGGCGTCCCGGCTTGTCTAGAGCCTACCTATTGTGGCGAGAAAGCGTTACTATTCCGCGAAGAGGTTAATAACAAGGTGTCTCTTCCGAGGTGCAGCTACTATTTACGGTGGTTTCTGCTTTCTCCGCGGGTTGGTTGTACAGGGACAACGACAGAGAGTGCGTGCGCCATGTTCGCCATGCCCTGCCTCCATCGGCAGAGGAAGATATCGTTTTTGTTTATCGCTTCGCAAGCGTTTAGCGTTTTCGAGAAGCGGTCATGCTGGAATCCCAAGGGCCGCGGCGGTTAGTTTGTTTCTCAGAAGGACAGAGGTAGCAACTCGACTTCCAGCCATTCGCCTCAGGATTACTTCTGAAGCGATGACGAGCGGCCCCTCAGACTAGCAATCGATCTCCAGTGGCCATCTCTTTCGCGCTCGGCGCAGCCCACAGTCAGTCAGTCAAGACAGCGTTGATGCTTCGAGTTGAAACGCGATCATGCCCTTGGGCCCTCCCTCTCAGGTTGTTCTCGACCCTATCAAGTCCGTTTTGGCGGGGTCGTGCCCGAACACGCGCTCCGCCGGCTCTTGGCGGCTTCGCCGATTTAAATCAGCGGCCAATACCCCCACACCCACACGCCGCAGTTGATTCTCTACCGCTTCCGGTGCCCTCTCCCGAGTCTGGCACGACGGGGGGTAGAAGCTATGCCGTGATTGCGTGCCAAAACTTGGCCTGTTTCAGTAATTTCTTCCTACCGCCCCATCGCCTGCGATGATGGTAGCCATTAAAATCAACACCACCGCGGGAAGCTTGGCTCCGTTCTTCTCCACGACATGGTGCCAGAAATAGCTGTGGGGACACAGAGGCGGCGGCGAACGCCTCCTCGCGGGTTTCCACCCCTGCCCAACACGGATTCGCCGGCTCTTCCGTAACACCAAGGGAATAACCGCGCTCTTTGACGGGTCCTACGGACCGAGGGTTAGTAAAAGACTGCGCGCGTGTTCTTGCAGGCATCAACGCTAGCATGTTTGACCGGGAGGGCCGATAGGACTGACTTCAGATGATTAACAGCGGCATCCCTTGGGCGGTAAATACTGCGATCGATCGCTCACATCAGCGTCGCGGCATTTCTCTGTAGAAACCATTGACCGGGCTACTCGATATCGTCCGATCCAGGCCGGCTCGCCATGACAGCGCCACACTCCAGGGGTGGTTCGACTCAAAGGCCTGTCTGAGTGCTGTGCGGTCGCCCGCGAGGAACCGCCCCCAGACCAATAAAAAAAGGACTAATGATCGTGCCCATCTCTCTCGCGCCACAGCAAGGTTTCGACGCCCTCAGCGATCGTCTCCCGTCGGGGCACCATACTCCCTCGGTGCTGAGCGACAACGCCACACAACTCTCTCCATGCGCGGTGTAGGCCACACAATCCACAATCTTCTCCCCTTTGGGCAACAGCCTTTCACCATCTGCAGCGGCAGCCCACATTTACACTGCTCCACGGCAAAGGGGAAACGTGAACTTGCATCCCATTTACACGATCAACTCGTTCTTGTTACAATATTTTGTGTTCCGGTTCTCTCGCGCCTCAACCGTCAGTGGCGGCAGGGCGCAGCTCTCGCCAAGCAGGTCGGCCAAGTTAGTCGTTCCCGCGTCGATGACGCCGACTCGCCGAGACAATCAGTCAGTACTTCCGGCATCTAGGGCGCCGACAAAGGGACGGTAATGGTATCCTCTCTCCTCCTCCACTTCCCCGTCGCTACAACACGGAACATACCCTTTCTCTGTCTCTCTGTGTGTGCTATGTGTTTCTCTGGCTCTCTCGCCCATGTGTCTCTCTCTCTCTCTCTCTTTCTCTCTCTCTCTTGCTCTCATTCTATGCGCCTCTCTAGACCTGCTTGAGAGGCGCGAGGGTCTTCGACAGCAGCGTCCCAATCCTACGTCCTAAAACCAAAGGACAAAAAAAATATCGCTCTATTGTACCTTACGAAAAAATGCGACCAACTATTTTGTACCGTTATCATACTCCGCGTTTCCGCTCGTAGATGATGATATAGCTCTCGCTGAGACCGATGAGTTGCGGCATGGTCTCCTGCACGTGAAGGTCCTGCACCTCGTACCTGGCGTGACGTCATGGACATGACGCCGACAGGCCGCAAACGTTGCAAGTTGCACGAAGGGACGAGGAGAGAGAGAGAGAGAGAGAGAGAGAGAGAGAGAGAGAGAGAGAGAGAGAGAG